AATGATAATGTTCTCTATCTCCTCATCCAGTCTGAAGCAGCGGACAAACTCGTCACAAGGGACAGCGCATGCTAGCAAAGACTCTGGCTGGCATTAACGCTTGCAGAAGGAAGACATCTCACGCGTATGATACATCACTCTTCGATGAGCCACTGCACACCTGCCCTCCCCTTTAAGTTTGAGCCGAAAACAGGCCCGCTTTCTACCTTAAGGATTGGGACAGTACGGTATCTAAGTGCTCATTGTCGGTACTAATTTTACTGGTACGCCCGAGGGAAAAAAGAAGAATCAGTACCGAGCGACCTTGGGTGGTGTGATGATCTAAATTGACATTCCACCCCAACACCTTTGGCCTGGACACACTTTTGAGCAACCTGGATTCCATATGTCCCATGATTAAGTACATTTTTATCAAGGGTGAAGGGATAAGAAGATTAATGCGAGTATAGACGTCATAGGGAAGGGATAGGCTCAGGAAGTGCCCTTGAATAGATCAGCAAAGGGTCTGTCACCTAGTGGCAGCAAAGGCTGGTTGGAGTGGAGATTTTCAAGCCATGAAGGATTTATTGGTCCCAGCAAACTCTCGAATCCCAGGGTAAGCCCATCTATGGTGAGCGGAGGGACCGCTGATAAAGATAGTGGCCTTGGAGTGACCCCGTGCGCATACTGAGAAGGTCCGGACACGGGAAACGGTCCCAACGGCTGTTCTGCGCTCAAATGGTTGCCCGCATGGAGAATGTCCTCTTGCATCAGACGGTTTCCACCATTGTCTTCACCGTTCTTATGTAAACTTGTTGTGGGAGGAGATGAGCTGCCAGCTTCTACACCTGGTGGTAGAGAGAATAATCATAAGACAAGGCGGCGATAAATGGAGGACCAATGAGAAGCCTGGCCATTCACAAGCACCTTCGAGGCGCCGCATGGTTTTCAGGCAGACAACCCATTACCTTCGATGCTTTCCTCCGTCTCTCTTGGTGTTGTTGCTGCTTCTACTACAGGCTGCGCCTAAAGTAGGGAAGGGCGAGAGCGAACAATGAACTGCGTACTGTCTTCAGTGAGCACGCAACCTGCTATTGTAATATTCTGCCCGAGATGTTGGTGATCCGGCAAGTCCGCATCGGTGCGCACAGTATAGAAGCAATCACTGTTGTAATATCGCACCTCATCGACGGCCTCAGAGTCGTAGCTGTCAGTAATGCGCTGATCCACAGACCCGCCTTGACCTGCAAAGGATATAAAGTTGTGAGACTCATCCTTGGTGGTCTAGATTAAATCGAGCTGGAAAAGCGAGCCTCACCTGCGGTCTTAGAGCCCCATCTGTAGAGAAACTGGACGATGTGTGCTTCTCCACATTCGTGTGTAATGTCACACATCTACAGGTCGGATTTAATATTCGAAATTGACATGACAGTCTCTCATCCAGAGAACAGTTGTTCGAACATACTATGCAGTGTGAGACTCACCTTGGCCTCTCTTGAGACGTTGTACAGGGACCATTCCTCAGCACCGGCTCCATTATCGTTTCTCGCGGCTGAGATGTATATATCTGCATTCTCGGACGTCCGAACTTCGTTCCACTTGCTACTTAAATGTAGCAAGATGGAATATATCGTCTTCTTGGGCCTGTATTTGATTGAATGTTGAAATTAAGGCCTTGTAGAGAGCCTACAGTATTCGTAAGCTCCTTTCTTGGACATAGAGCCGCAGCTGATCAATCAGGGCAGAATCGGTAATATATAGCTGTCCAGACCAAACAGGAGGAAGCCACTCACCCGCAGCATATCTCCAGATAGGGATTGGTTCCTGAAGCTTCCATTTGCATCAGTGTAGATTGATACATTGGATGGAATTGCACTCGAAATCTAGTACGGACAGCCTTCTGCATGTGAAGCAATAGGGTGTAAAGCATGGAAGTCGTACATTCATGCATATAAAGCCAGCCAATTACTTACTCGGTCGACGGGCTGTCTGAATCCCTGATGAGGGCGCTGTGTGTGAATTGCATCGACCTTCCTAGCTCGTGGTAGGGGAAGCTGATTGACCCGGTCACTTGGGCCCAGCACTGATCCCGTTGGTGCTGAACTCCTTTGAACACTTGGGAAATTTGCTGCGGCGCCACGCAGAGGATCTCGTGCCACCTGATCCGCTGCTCTTTCGGTGACCGGTGTATCGATCGTTTGCTCTTGCAGATGGCCCTCGTGCGGACTGTAGCTCACTTGTCTGCTCTTAAGAATGCTTGCGACTTTCTATAGGTAGGTGGGTGGCACTGAAGTCGAGTCTGAAATATTAATCTCAGCGATGCCTAGAAATGGAGCTAGCATAACACATCTCATCCTACCTGAGAGACGATCTTGGAGAACTCCCTCATCCTTTTAGGTGTCTTGCACAGTTTGGTCATGTTCATGTCCCGAATGTCAAAGTCTTGCGCCTGTAAGGTCCGATTTCAATTTGCCTGTTAGCGCAGGGTGCTGTGGTCTTGTGTGCTTGATGCACTGTCTGCCTGTTGGAAAAGTCCTCCAGGCTAACACACGCTGCAGCACTGTACTCACCGTATCCCAAAGTCGCAGCATTGCCCAGTGGAGCTGCACTTGAGTGGCCGAGTTCAGGTCTAGGCTAGGGTCCAACACCGCTCGCAGACGTCTCGTCAAGCGATAATAGTAGTCCCGGACCTGCGTCGATGACCGGCAAACGACCAGTGGGTTGCGGTTTCGACTTCAAATGGGCAGGTATATGGCCGTTAACACATTGTCTTAGTTTGCCGACCTGGTTGTACTGCTTGTGCTCTATCTGGCGTGCCAACTTGATGCACAAGGTCTCCGGCTTCTGTCCTATGGACTCGCGGAGCACCCTGAAAAACGTCATCTGCTCCTCCATCGTCCATCTCCGATGGATTTGCCGTTCATCTGAGTGGAATCCGCGGGTGGGCGGCTTTGAGGGGGTGAAAGGGATCCTCTCAAATAGGGACCGACCCACCCCAACTCACCACCGGGGCGATCGTAATCGGCAGTCAGAGCAGCGGCCCAAGTGAAAGATCCCTTGCACAATGTCTGCTGGTCTACGGCGTCGGGTCCCATGCTGAGCGGCTCGTCGTAGTGGGGGTGACCGGCGTGCATAGCGAGGTTGGCGAGTGTCTGCTCCCCCGACATACTCTCGGGACAAGCAGACTAATCTGCTACGAATTGGTCAGACATGCGTGTTTTTAGTATCCTGGTAATGCAGAACTAATATACGACCAGCGCGGGGACGAGATGGCGATCCGCGCCCTGGTGCCTGTCGATCCTTAGGATTCGAATGTCCCCGTGAGCGCGCGGATTCTTTACAGCACCTGTGAAGTGCAGATTCTGGTTGCCATGCACTCCAGTTCCCAAGCGCAGACGTTCGTACAGGAGCCCCACAAGCCCTGCAGCTTCCGCCGATACACGTCTGCCGGGAAGGCAGGACTGGATATCCCAAGCAGCATGCGGGCCACCGTCAGGCCTTGAAGCTTGGTAGCTTCTTGGCCAGCTAGCGTCCTGAGCACTAGCCTTATGGAGGTCTCGACGTCCTTGGTGATGGGCCTCAGGGGAAGCGGGACTCCCTCGTGGGGTTGCAGGCAGCCGGCAGCTTCAACGCTGGCATTCTCAAAGTAAGCCTCCACGTCTCGCCTGAGGCTCACTTCCTGGGCCTCGGCCAGCCTGTGATTAGCGGCCTGGCTGAAGGTTCTGTACACGATGTCGAGCTGTGAAGCTTGGTTCCTCACCCCCCGCTCCAGCCAGTCTGCCAACGCTGGTGTGAGAGAGGCTGGGGCCGGTGGCGTTCGTAGGATCTCAAAGGCTGGGCCCTCCTGCTTGGACATCTCCAGGCTGACGAGGTTGTGTGCAGCTAATTCTCGCAAACTGACAAGAGCCTTGCTGGGGGTGCAGGCAAGGAACGACGCCAATTTGCCGACAGACACAGAGTATATGCCGTTGCGGGGATTCTTGCAGAGTGTCACAAGCGCCTGGGATTGGCAGTGATGTCGTGGATGTAGGAGGGTGCAGAAGGAACTAGGTTGCATGTGTCGCAGCCCCAATAAGGACATTGCAACCCTCAATTTCACGCCCCTTTGCCAACCGTGGCTGCACCTGAATACTCGGGTGCTGTGGGGCAAGGCTTTTGGCGCTGTCAGCGAAAAAGGAGACCTTGACTTTGATGCCCGTCTTGGGGAGGAGGCGAAATATTTCGGGCAGGGATATCTGTGGAAGGTAGGCAATGTCATGCCGTCCAGCATGTAATGAGCCCAGGGATGACTTGAGCCAGAAACACGCCCACAGTCACTGATATGATCACAGGGCCCTCGAAATCTCAGTGTGCACTCGTGTCCCCTCCTCTCACCTCGAGGTGGCTGAGAACGGATTCTACAGCATCCTCCCCGATGTCCATCGTCCGGCAGACTTGTTTTAGGTCAAGGACACCGAAACAGCCGGAAGCAGCCTCCTGCATGTAGCCATGTTTGGGGGTGCTGAAGAGGGTAACAAGGGCAGTACTAGGCGTCCTTATGTAAGCAGGCCCAGCCCCTGCCAGCCTAGTCACCTTCTCATGGACCTCTGCCCATCGTTTGAAGACATGTTCTAGCAAGGCCTCAACCGCGGACGATGTAGTGCGGCCAGAGCTGGTGAGTGACCTGAGCGTGCAGTACTCGCCATCGTCGACTACAGTGTAACAGGAGGCGGGGCTCCCATTGCGCCCCGCTCTGCCGATCTGTTGGACGTACTCCTCCAGGGACCGAGGCATGGTGGCATGGATGACAGCGCCAACGTCAGACAGGTTGATGCCCATTCCAAATGCAACGGTGGCCACAACAATCTTCAGCTTGCGATCCCTGAAGTCTGCCTCGATTTCAGCCCTTTCCTGTCAGAAATACAGGGGGATGAGGGGTTTAGAGAGATTGCTCTGATCATGACTGTACCTCTGTAAGTATGCCCTCATCTCGTCAGCCCCTATAAACACCGGCAGACTCCCAACCCCAACCTAACACTTACCTTGTAGTGTTTTCCTGCGTGGTAAGACTTGGCACGATGGCCGATAGCCTGAAGTTTTGCTGCAAGAACATCGGCATCATGTCGAAAGGCACAGTAGATGAGGATCGAGGAAGTGTCGGCCAGGGCTGACCCAGGGGTTACCAGGGAAAGGATGTACGACGTTCTGGTCTCTGCCATGCCTGTGGTGGTGGGGCCGAGCTGGTTGTCCCTTTGTATCACACCATACGCCAGGAGTGTAACTAATTGAGGCTCCACTGCCGTGGGTTATCCAGTCACCAGGGAGCCCAGGCCGGCCCTCCCACCTGAGGTGTTGACCTTGACGTGCAGACGCAAGTTCTCACGCAAGCAAGTCTCTCGCAGGGTGGTCTGAATCCCGAGGCTCTGGCAGATGGCAGCCTCCGTCAGCTTGGTGGCGGTGGCGGTCAAAGCCAGGAGAGACTTTGCAGGCAGCATCCGCTTCAGCGCCGCACCAAGCCGGTAATATGCAGGCCGGAAGGAATGGCCCCACTCGGTGACGCAGTGACATTCGTCCACCACAACCTGAGGAGCAGGTGAGATGCAGAGGAGAGTGGTGGACGCATGAGGTAGCCGCCTGCCCGCCGCGCAAGAGCACATCCTTGCCTCAGAAACATTACTGGTGTTGAGCGGCATTTTGGCCTTGTGAACTTGCCCAGTTCGTATGGTACAGCGTCCCCTCTTCTATGCAACACACAAGCAGTTCCATGGAAGCCCACCCTTCCTCACCAGAGAGAGGGGTAGATGAGACTGGAGTGCCTTCAGCAGATGGATGTTGTTCACACGCTCTGGACTCACCAGGATGACCTTGTGCTTTCCAGCCTGCCATGGATTGTATGGAGAATGGATCACTGGCCTGATGCAGAACGTACAGCTTCCATCTACCCTCCACCCAAGCAACAGCAAGCTGTGCCTGAGTGGCAAGCTCTAAGCCAATCAACGTTGCCTAGCCACTGTCACATTGCCACCCCTTATGATTTCCCGGCACGCCCTCTACTCACAGCAATGGCTTCTAAGGTGGCTGCTGCGTCCTTGGAGCTCTGACCCGACCATAGAACCGCAGGAGTCAGTGCCGCAGGCATCTGCTCCGCCTGGTTGTGCATGAGCGCGATGAGGGGCGATATGACCAGGGTGACGCCTGGTAGAAGGAGGGCCGGGAGCTGGTAGCAGAGGGACTTGCCCAGACCTAGCAGTTGGGGGAAAGCGGTGCAGGGTCAGAGTGTTACAAGGCACCTTCTCTTGCGACAATGTTCCTCACTCTAGCAATTCTCAAACCCGGGAGAGCCAGATCCAAAACCTACCCGTGGGGAGTACGGCAAGGCATGGCGTCCCTTGGAGGACATGCGCGATGACGTGCCGCTGGCAGGAGCGGAAGTCTGTGTGGCCAAAAACTGTGCGCAGGACCTGCTTGAGACTGTCTTCGTCCAAGGCCGCTGCCCCTTCTAGAACACTGTCCTCGATTACTGGTTGACCGGGGTCTAATGAGGGTTCAGTGCCTGTTGTAGCAGCTGCAGAGGAAAGAAGATCCTTCCCTCCTAGAGTTGTGGTGCCTTGAGCCCGGGCGGAGGTGCACGTGTCTGCAGACACCTGTGGTAAAACTGTGTGGAATGACTGCCTGCAAACTTGCGCCCTTCATGCCTGTCCGTCAAGTAGCCTGCAAGACCCAGGTCGTCGAGAATCAGCCCCTTCATTGCAAGCCAACGCACCTGACCCTCCTCGGCTTCAAGATTGGATGTGCAGTCCGCTGCCCAGTGTCCGGCGCCACCACACCGGTAACACTTTTGTGTGCTTGCTCTCCACCCGTCCAGGTCGTCCGCGCCGCTGCCAGCCTGAGTCATGAACGATCCTGTGGGAAGGTGGAGCGCCGCAGTGTATCTCAGCAGGCGCGCTGGTGGATTGTGATGAATCATACTCGCACCCCCCACGTGCCACCCACCTCCTCGGCGGAATCTGCCAAAGGCTTGCCTGGCCTTCTGTGCCCGGCCTGGATGCTTGCTGGTTCCCTTGCCCTTCTGCGCTTGGTGTCATTGTAGAGAGTGAGACTGAGATCCGGTGCGCGTGCCAGAACAAACGCCATTGGGAGGAATACTAACCTTGAGATCGATTTTCACAAAGTTGGATCCCCATCCTGAGTTTGGATTGGAGGCCCTTTTGTCTGGCAATGGTTCCGTGGAGGAGGGAGCACGAGGCCGCCTGAGATGCACAACAGCTGGCGGACCGGTGGTGAGGCTGGTGCTTGCCAGGAAAGCCTGTCATGGAGGTTGGGAAAGCTGGGTAGATGTTGTCCCATGTGTGCCACAGGTCAGAAACCATGCAAAGCGATCGGCTGTAAAGCAGAGCAGCACTTCTGATATCACCTAAAAGTCCATGTGTGCCCTGACCCACCGTGGACTCCACGACTCTGCTGGAGTTTGTGACTTCCAGCCCTGAGCCTACTGGTGCATGTATCGTCGATCCTCGGTGGGTAATGGAGGTGCCAGCACCCTCTGACTCTGTCGCACATTGAGGAGGAGCAAGCTCTCTGCTGCGCGCAGGCCTCTTTCTTCCAAGAAACGTAGACACATGCCCCTGAAGAGTGTGTCGAGATGAGGGAGGTAAGTGGAAGGCTTGATATTTGGAAAGAGCGTGCGCTGGTGCCGAGCTTTACTTGAGAATCTCTCACCTTGATCGCCGCAGACTCTGGTCTGAAAGAGGTATTGAGCAGGCTCCCCGCAGGATTTAGTGGGAGCCTCTCAGTGGAAGGATCTCGAAGTGGAGGAAGGCCAGCAGACTCTGCCAGACGATCTGGGGTGCGCCTGTTTGCAGCCACTGCTTGGTCCGATGCACAGGGCACATCACCAGCATTACGCCGGCCTTCACTTCTTAATCTCTTACGTGCGAATGCATTTGACCGACAGATCCTCGAGCTACCCAAGCTTGCTTCAGAAGGGCCAGGACCAGGTGGCTCGGGTGAAGGCCCACACCACGGCTCCTCGGTGTCGCTGTATACCTCTTGGGGATCCGACATCCGCGGCCAGGTGGATCCAAAAAGGGCTCACGCTGATCCAGTTGAGCTGCAAGACAACATCTGTATGATGATGACGTCTAGCAACAGGCTTGAGTCCTGTACGAAGAATCGGGCATTACGAAACACGCATGCGCTGCTCTGTCGGGTCGCGTCAATCAAATGTAGAAACGTCCCGCGGTACTACAGCCGGCTTCTGAAAATATCGGCTTCGACGGCATTGCATAAACGACAACAACCCAAAGCCTTATAGTGACAGGAGCTCTAGCCTTCATTACAAGCTTCTACTACAATCGCTTGGCGAATCCACCGGTGAGTGTTGATCCTCTGTTTGGAATATATCGGGAAGGGTTTCCTTCCGGGGCGTGCCGCGTTGCCCCGAGGGTGGCCTGACCAGAATCGGGGACTGCCTTGGAAGTGATGGTAAAGTAAAAGGTCTGAGTGGGGGAATGCCATGTACCTCCTACCCTCGGTGGCCCATCGCTGACAGCATTCGGGTCGGGAGCGTCCTGGCGTCTTGTCAGGTGTCCCGTCCTGTGCTTGCTTTCGATGACCCTGGGCGGTGGTCGAGACGTCTGGCTCCCGCTGCACATGATGCATACCACGGAATTAACACCCTGATCCCAACCTCGAGGCCTCGACACCCCGCTCACGCCGTGACGCGTGGTCGTGATGGCCGTGTATGCTAATTCCATGCCGGCACCCCATGCTGCTGCAGGCCCTTCCGTCTGCAGTCATGGCTTCCGCCCTGAGCGACACGCGCACCACCGTCACCGTCGTGGGCGGCGGGGCATGGGGCACTGCCCTGGCCGCCCACTGCGCTCGCATGGGCCACGATACTTACCTCTGGGCCATGGAGAAGGAGGTCGTGGATGCTGTCAACAAGCAGCATGAGAACACCGTGTTCCTCAAGGTAGGCAGAGACAGACACAGAGAAGATGCTCAGTATGCTCACTCTGTGCAGGCGCCTGAGTTGTTGAGGGTCATCAGGCACTGTGTATTACCTCGGCCATGTCCATGCAGCCCACCGACTGCGTACCCACCACACCACCACACACCACCACCGGGACACAGGGCCTCCCTCTCCCAGAGAGCCTGAAGGCGACCAACGACATTGAGTTTGCGATCAAGCACGCCGAGCTGGTGCTGACCGTGGTGCCCACCCCCTTCCTCTTCAAGTCCCTGTCCAACATCAAGGACCTGCTGACCGAGAAGCACGTCATCATTTCCTGCACCAAGGGCATCCTCAACGACACCCTGGAGACGCCCGATGACATCATCAAGCGCGCCCTGCCCGAGAAGCTGCACTCCAGGTGTGTGCTGAGTGATGCGAGGTACAGCTTGTGCAGGCCCAGCCATCGTCACCATTTATCAGCCACGTTACACAATGTATCATTGTGACAGCCCGTGCAAGTGGCTTCTTCATCCCCCCTCCCACCCCCGTTTTCTCCTCTTCAGGCTTGCGTTCCTGAGCGGGCCGTCCTTTGCCGCGGAGGTGACCAAGGGTATCCCCACCGCCGTCACCATCGCCTCCAAGAACATCCAGCTGGCTCAGCATGTGCAGGAGCTGCTGTCCACCAATCGCTTCCGCTGCTACCGCACCGACGATGTCGTGGGCGTGGAGCTGGCGGGGGCACTGAAGAACGTGCTGGCGATCGCCTGCGGCATCTCCGACGGCGTCGGCTTTGGCAACAATGGCCGTGCCGCGCTGATCACCCGCGGACTGGACGAGATCACCCGCCTGGCGGTGGCTTCGGGGGCCAACCCCCTGACCCTCGCCGGCCTCGCCGGGGTGGGCGACATCGTGCTCACCTGCTGTGGGGACCTGAGCCGCAACCGCACTGTTGGTGAGAGGGTGCATGGAGGATTGGCGAGGAGCATCAATGGGGAAAGGAGGCCTGGACGAAATCTTGAACAAGGTCGAGGGTACCTTGCAAGGAGGATGGTTCTGGAAAACCTTGCTTGGCTGCTGACGATAAATGAGCTGGAGACACCTCTTGGAGCCCATGCTCTCGCGAGGAACTACTCGCTGACTGCCGCACGCACCGTCCACACTGCAGGTCTGCGTCTGGGCAAGGGCGAGAAGTTGGAGGATATCGTGTCCAGTCTGGGGGCCACTGCTGAGGGTGTGCTGACCTCCCGCTCGGCCTATCACTTTGCCAAGAAGATGGGCATCGATTGTGCTGTCATTGAGGGCATCTACAGGGTGAGAGGGGAGGCCATGCGGGAAAGTTTATGCACTTGGGGCTATGGGGGTCCGTCTGCAAGCACATCCCAGGCAGAGCTCCTGATTCCGCACTCGGTTTCTCCCAACCCAAGTTCTCGTCAAAGCACGCTCCATACAATCCTACATTCTCAGGTGGTGAACGAGGGCGCTGACCCCGTAGAAGTTGTTGCCACCACAATGTCGCGCCCGCTTCGCGCTGAGGTGGACGAGAAGGTTGCCGCAGCCAAGTTCTGAGCTGCTGGGTAGGCCCTTGCTTCCCCCCATCTTGCTGTGTGTGCTGATATTCTACTGTGAGTATGTGTGCCGTTATTGAGTATGTGTGCGTCAAACGCATGATTGCATGAACAAAACTGAGCTTGCTCCTGGCACCCTACTTGCCCCCTGCTTTGCAATCCCGTCCCAGGACCCGTCCGGATGGTACCTTGGTAAAATCCCTCGTGTGTCCTCTCCTCATGCCAAGATGGGTGCGGGATCTGTGCATATTTTGAAACTTCCTAAACCGATTTCAGGCCATCGAAGTTACTCATGGGAAGGCAAGTCCCCATCGACGGTGGGCCCCAATACTATGCTCTGGATGTCGAGTGTGTCGCCACGGGCTTGGACCATAATGCACGCGCCGTGGCCCAAATAGGACTGGTGGTGGGTGGCAATATATATGATATAATGGTTTTGAGAGGGCGGTGGTGGTCATGGGGCATCTGAGGCACTCTAAATACCAGCTCGCGGCTTGTCGACCCCCTTCCACTTCCTCCATGCAGGATGCCCACGGCCGCGAGTTGCTCAACATCTTCGTGAAACCCAATGAACCTGTGGTTTCGTGTCTAACGGCGATTACAGGGTGCGTCTCGGAGGGGCGTGCGAGCCGCAGCGGTGCTCGACGAAGTTCACCAGGTTCCCCTCCCATACGACCCTGCAGGATTACACCTACCATCCTGGAGACGAAAGGGATCTCCCTGGGTGAGGCACGGGAGCGTCTGCTCCAGGTTCTCCCCTCCACAGCAACGCTCGTTGGACAGAATGTGATGCAAGACGTCAGATGGCTGAATTTGAAGTAGGAAGCAGGGGTCAGGAATCGAGGCTTGCCACAGGCATGCGTCCCGCTATACCGAAAGGGAGGCTCCAAGGTGGAGCCAAGCACTCTGACATAGAGTTTACAGATGCCAAGACTCATTCTGTGAGCATTCCCAAAATCTCGACAGGGAGCGGCAAGACTTCGCCAGCATGCTGGATCTGATGGGGCTGTACCGAGTGTGGAATGCTCAGTACCGAAACTTCACTATCTTCAACCAAGACCATCTGGCACGAGTCTTATTGAATTGGGCTGGCGAGGGACCACACGATGCAGTCCGGTGAGGCTAGGAGCGTTCAGGAGAACAGGGCAATGGTGTTGATCCGGTAGATTGGTAGTGACTGGCCCAGCTCTCACCACGCCGCACGGTTCCCTTCCAGGGATGCCCAAGTATCAATGCAGCTTTTCCACTGCCATGCGCGACTGCAATCGGATCCGGGAATGTGGGATCAAGCCCAGCAGGCCCTGCTTGACGCTCCGAGGAAGCCATCCTTTGCATCCCAGAATCCCATCTATGACAATGTGTGCATGGGTAACCGCAGAACATGTAGGTGCGGTGCACCATTCTTTTCCTGACGTTTCTGCCTGCTAGCAAATTTGGGTCCCTGACTTTTAGTTTGCAGTCCATATCTCCTTTATTCATAACCGTGGTGTTCACTCGAATTTTGCTGCGTCGATTCCAGAACGGAGGGTGCAAGGGAACACTGCAGTGTGACGTTGCGTCGCATGCACAGCAGACACTGGGACCAAGGGACCTCTGCCCCTGGCTCAGTGCATATATGCACCTTCTGGGCTCTGTTGTAAGACATTACCCTCGCCATTCCAATAGGCTGCTTATTGACTGATCAGGTTAAGGCCGCAGACCGGTTTTGAGAGAACATACTGGGCAGAGAGCCTCGTCAGCCACCTCCGCCTCCCCGCGCTTCTGGTACAAGCTCAGCTTCAAGAGCTCGAAAGACAGTCGCACACGCTTTGGCACGGAAGCCGTGCCTCCGATGGGTAACGCTCAGGGCACGAATGCACACATTCAAACTCCAGTCTAAGTTTAGGTGGATTTGTTTGGAGATTTTAGGTCCGGTCGTCCGAGGGACGGCCGTGTGTGATCGGAACTCGACCTGTGCCTCGAGGGGGGCGCATGCCTCGGTGGTGCGTCCCTGAATTCCCTTAAGACACCACGGGCGCATTGAAAATGGCAAAATATCGTCTGAAAGACACCAAAATCCTTTATAATGATCACCATGAAGGCACTCGTGCTTATCGCGGTGCTCTCCTGCGCTGGTGCGAGAGCACAAGGATTCAGTTCCGACAGCCTGCTATCTGGTACGTTGCAGGGGAGCCCTGGAATGTCGCAGAGGCCCGGCGCGTGTTCCTTACCATTCAAGACCTCGCCTGAAACGGTCTGAACCCACGCAGGAGTGGGCGAGGCTATGATGTCGAGCCTGTCGATGTCGTCGGTGTCGTCCATGCAAGGCCAATTCTCCGACTACCTCAATGCCATGGACAGCAGCCTGATGTCTAAAGTGTCATCCTTCAGGGAGATGATCCCAGACCTGTCCGGCTGGAACCTGACGGGCTTCGGAATAGACACAGACCTGGAGAAATCCGTGGAGAAGTTTCATGACAAGTCAGTGGGGTCATCGAGGGAGGCCACTTGTGCAGTCCTGGCTGGGAGGAAGCATGGAGCCGGTGTAAATTGTCACACCCACAATCGTCCAAAGTACCCACCCTCTTCAGGTACTGTGACGGACTCACGCTGAAGCGCGGCGGCAAGGTGCCCTCCGTGCTCCGAGGACCCGAGCTGAACATCACCCTTGCCACAGGAAACTGCACCTTGGTGTGGTCTGACGATTACAAGAACAAGTCTGTCGTCTGCACCACCCCCTCAGTGTCCTACGTGAAGGTATGCAGAGGGTTCAGAGGTCATTGGGGAGTTCTCCAGACTTGTCCTGGCCAGCAATCAGCATGTGGGTGTGGCGTTGCAGTCTTCCAGTCCCCACCCACCCAGGCAAGAAACCCCTCATCCTTGCAGACACCCACCAAGTTCGTGTTCAAGCACTTCAAGGCATCCTCCTTCTCTGTGGGGAGCTGCATATTCAAGAAGGAGCTGTCAAAGGGGTCGGAGAAGGTGCTGTACAGGTGAGGGCGACTCGAAGCAGACATGGTCTGGGGTGTGCGACACCACTCCATCTCCTCATGGCTAGTGTCAATGTTAAAGGGCATGTCCAGGCCTCAAGAAGCCTCTCCGTGCCCTCCTCCCATAACAGTGGAGGCGATGACATCATCTTCAAGAGCTCGCACGACTTCCAGAAGAGCGTGCAGTCTGGGGCATTTGACCTCTGGGGCATGCCCTCTCACAGCAGCAGCAACAGCACAGCGAGCGCCGACGCGACGGCATCCAGCAGCGCCCTGCTGAACCTGCTCCCCACCGACTGGTCCATCATTCAGTCTGAGTGACACCCTCTGCGCAGCATTGCCCATTTCATTACTTCCTTCCTGCCCTCCTCACTGTGACACATGGACCTCAGTCATCAAACACAATCTTGGTGGCAGGCACAGGCCTTGCAGGGATGGCGGCAGCCTGGCTCCGCTTTGCCCTCCAAGAGGGATGCAGGTCTGTGGCATCCAAGGCAGGCGCAGGAGCCTTCTTGACTCTGTCAGGCTTGCCCTGGGCCTCTTTTGCTATGGTAGGGGGTGCCGGTCGGCCATACTGCATCGTAGCCAGCCGCCGTCGTTCCCTCTGCCCCATCCTATTCTTGGGCTTGGCCGGGGCAGACTTCTTGCCCGGCCCCACCCTGGCGCCCTTGGCACGTTTCTGTGATTGGACGGGCAGCGCAGCAGCTTCTGCCTTTGACGACTCAGCGCTTGGCCCGGCCTCGTCGCCGCTAGAGCTCAGCAGGCTCTCTAGGTCGCTCACGTCGCTTGCCAGGGATATGGCCTCGTCCTCAGAGTCTGATGGAGCTGCCGCCTCCCTGCTGCGCTGCAGGAGCTTTGCGAGCGCGGCGCCTGCTTCCTCGTCCACTTCGTCAGCGGCCTCTTCGCCGTCCGAGGAGGACGGGCTGGCAGGCGGAGAGTCCAGCGGGGCCGGCTTGCCCTCTCTTGCCTCCTCGGCGTCGCCCTCCAGGAGGGAGACAATGACGGCTTTCAGGCAGGGCGCAGAGAGCATCCTGGTGCACACCGCTCGCTCTGGGCCATCCGCCCAGCATGACTCTGGGCTGTCGGGGAGCGACCCAGCCGGACCCCTCACCAGGCCCAGCTGCGACCCCGCGACCGAGGCGAGCTCCTGCACGTTTGCTGCTTTCGCTGCCTCGAGCTGCGCCTCCAGCGCCGGCTTCTTGTTGGCCTCTGCCAGCTTCAGACGCCGAACGATCTTGCGCACCTCGAACTGCTTGGCCTTCTTTGCGGCCCGGCCCAGCTTCACCATCATGGCGTGTGTGTTGGGAGTCTTCCTCTTGTTCTCCCTGGTAAGGATAAGAGTGCAGGCGACCGCTGAGACGAAGTACCTGGAGAAGGCAGAGAGCAGCATCAAATCAGCGACACCGTCCCATGTGCAGCGACACTTCCCCACCTGGCGATTCGCCCCGCCCCGGGCTTCCTGGGCCGGCCCATGTCGCCTGTGTCGACAAAACTACGGCAGAAGAGCTGAACGGATACTTCAATTGTTGTTTAAGAAGTCCTATAAAAGCAATTGTGTCGTACGCATTCTCTTGCAGGGCATCGCAGAGGGTATGACGCAAAGACGGACTGGACGGTGACCAGCGCCGTTCAGCTCGGTCAGAGAATTAGCATGCCATACTACCCAGAAAGTGCACTTTGAATTTGTGGGCGCTATGATGATGCCATCGATGTGGCCCTAAGAACTCCTGAGGAACTGTCAAGGTCTTGCGATGAGAGCAGCGCGCTCTGGGGGCGCGCGCGAGCTTGAGAGGAATCCGGGGGCCACCTCAGCTCCACCCTTACACAATATATACGGAATCCCGGCCATGCCGACGATGAGACCGGGAGGCGGTGATCGATCCGCACCTCGTTCCCCTGATGTTGTTGGACACCGATCCCGAAACCATCCAGTAGTGCAGGATGTCGAGCACGGTGGTCGTGGTGGCCCCATCCTCCAAGTCAGCCGTGGTGGCTCAGCTGGCGCTACTGCTGGGTGTCCGCAAGTCGACCAAGTTTAAGCTCGGCATCGCCGCTGCGACAGCGGGTCTGTTGGCCTATCATGCTAGCCGCAGCCTGCGACAAGACAGACGGTCACTGTCGGGAAGGTGCGGCCCAGTGTTTAGGGCTGTGGACGCAGCCAGCCCCCGGCCTTTTGCGCGTGGGTGCCAATGTTGAACACATCGTGCATGATATCTGATATGGGTAGCTCCTTTTGGCCAATGAGCCTGGCATGATGATGCCGATGCAGGTGGCAGGGGGCCATGGGAACAGGGGGGCACCCAGTCCCTGGGGTTTGGGCTGCTGCCCTCGGCCATGCCATGCCTTTTGTACCCCTACCATTCCGCAAACCCCCACCTCAACCTCTCAACCCCTCCTCCCACATCTCCGCCTGCCATGCACTGCAGGCCAGAGATTCCCCGCCCCAAGAAATCCCTGGCCACCGGCTCCGCCCGGAAGCCACGCCCCGCCTCGCAGCGCCGCGCCCTGCAGCGCCTGCTGCCCCTGCTCCTCCGCGTGGCTGGGCCCAAGGTGGTGGTGCTGCTGGGGGTGGTGCTGGCGCGCACCGCGCTGTCCAACCGCCTGGCACGCCTGCAGGGCTACCTCTTCCGCGCAGCCTTCCTCAAGCGCGTGCCGCTGTTCATGCGCAACCTGGCGGAGAATGTGGCCCTCTGCGCGCTGGCGGCGGGGCTGGAGTCGACATCGCGGAGCTGGGTGTCGCGGCTGGAGCTGCAGTGGCGCCGCCTGCTGACGCAGCGCGTGCACGCGGCCTACTTTGACGACATGGTCTACTACAAGCTGAGCTACGTGGACCGCCGCATCCCCTCCGCAGAGCAGCGCATCTGCGAGGACATCCCCGCCCTCACCGAGGGCCTGGCCTCCCTGCTGGGCGAGCTGCTGTCGGCGGGTGTGGACGCCGCCTTCTACTCCTGGGCCCTGCACAGCTACACGGGCACGCACCGCTACACCGCGCTGCTCCTGGCCTATGTGGTCGGCGTGGGCGGCGCCATGGCCTTTGCCGCGCCCAACTTCGGCGGGCTGTTCAAGCGCCAGGCGGCGCTGGAGGGCGCGTATCGCGCGGTGCACACGCGCCTGCGCGCCAACATCGAGAGCGTAGCCTTCTACGCCGGCATGCATAAGGAGGGCGAGGTGGTGCGTGGTGCATTCCGCGACTCGCTGCGCGCGCAGCGCCGCCTGCTGGGCCGGCAGTGGCAGTTTGGCATGGTGCAGGACCTGCTGCTCAAGTACTTTGGCGCCACGGTGGCCCTGGCCCTCATCCTGGGCCCCTTCTTCGGCGGCCACCTCCGCCCCGAGGCCACGGTCAGGGGGCGGGCGGGCATGCTGTCGGCCATGCGCTACCACACCTCGGTCACCATCTCCCTATTTGGCGCGCTGGGCACGCTGGGCGGCGCCTCGCGCAAGCTCATGCGCCTGCAGGCCTACGCGGAGCGCCTGGCGGAGCTGGAGGCAGTGATGGCGGAGATTGCGGGCGGCGCGGGCATGGGGTCGGAGGGCCTGCCCCCCGCCCGCGGCCAGCTGCTGGCCTGCGAGGACGCCATCGCCTTCGAGTCGGTGGTGGTGGTCACCCCCGCCAACGCCACGCTGGTGCGCGACCTCACCCTGCGCGTCCCTGCCGGCACCAACCTGCTGGTCACCGGTCCCAATGGCGCGGGGAAGAGCAGCCTGTTCCGCGTGCTGGGCGGCCTCTGGCCGCTCACTGCGGGGGCCATCCGCAAGCCCGGCGGCGGCGCAGGCGACGCGGCGGGCGGGCTGTCGCACGAGATCTTCTACGTCCCGCAGCGCCCCTACGTCACCGTGGGCACGCTGCAGGAGCAGCTGCTATACCCGCTGACCCCCGGCACCGGCGGCACGGCGCCGGTCATCCCGGACGACGAGCTGGCCGACCTGCTGGCCAGCGTCGACCTGGGGCACCTGCTGGCGCGCGGCGGGGAGTCCCTGGACTGGGGCGAGGAGCTGTCACTGGGCGAGCAGCAGCGCTTGGGCATGGCGCGCCTGTTCTACCACCGCCCGCGCTTCGCCATCCTGGACGAGTGCACCAGCGGCGTGAGCGTGGACATGGAGCGCCGCTTCTGCAGCATGGTGCGCGATGCGGGGTGCACCTGCATCACCATCAGCCACCGGCCCGCGCTCATGGCCTTCCACGACCTCGTCCTGGCGCTGGACGGTGAGGGCGGGTGGAGCGTGCACGCCGGGCACCGCGCGCTGGGGGCGTCGGGCGCCGGGCGAGGCGGTGCTGGTCCCGCTGGCGGTGGTGGCAGCGGCGCCAGCGGCGCGCCGGCCCCCACCCCAATGCTCTCTGGCAGCGTGGACGCCGAGGCGAGCGCGCGGGTGCGCAGCGCCGAGGCGAGCGCCGTGCTGGCCGGCATGACGGCCGGCGGGGAGGTTCGACGTGAGAGCGCCGTTCCCGAGCGCGCCGCGTCCGATTCCGACGCGTCGTCGGCGGAGCTGGAGGTCGTGGCGCGCGCGCCCTCGCGCTCCGCAATCGGCGGCGCGGCCTGCGCCGCCGACTGGTCGCCCTGCCGCGCCCTGCGCCCCGGGCCCCTCTCCACGCTGGCGCGATGGCGGCTGGTGGGCGGCGTGCTGCTGGGCCGCGACCCGCGCGGCTCGGCGCTGGGCCTAGGCGCAGTGGCGGGCGTGGTGGCGCTGCGCACGCTGCTCCAGGACCGCATCGCCAACCTGAACGGCGAGGCGGTGCACCACGTGCTGCGCCAGGATGTGCGCAGCTTCCTCTGGCTCCTGGGCGTCAGCGCGGCGCAGGGCTGCGCCTCGGCCGTGCTGGCGCCCAGCCTGCGCCACATCGCCGACCTGCTGGCGCTGAGCTGGCGCGCGCGCCTGACGCGCGCGGCCTCTGACCGCTACCTCGCCCCTGGGGCGACGGGGTACACCGCGGTGCAGCTGGCGGGGCTGGGCGACGTGGACCAGCGCCTGACGCGCGATGTGGAGCGGCTGAGCCGCGACCTGGCCGCCCTCATCCCCACCCTGGTCAAGCCCGTGCTGGACATCACCTGGTTCTCCGCCCGCCTCTGGGCCATGACGGGGCGCCGCGGCGCGGCCATCCTGTACCTCTACGCCGCGCTGGGGTACGGCACGCTGCGCCTACTGACCCCGGACTTTGGCGCGCTGCTCCGCCGCGAGTATGAGCTGGAGGGCGGGTTCCGAGGCGCGCACTCGCGCCTGCGCACACACGCCGAGAGCGTGGCCTTCTTTGGCGGTGGCGCGCGCGAGGGCGGCGCCGTCGTGGCGCGCTTCGACGCCATGACCGCCCACCTTCGCGGGCTGATCGCGCAGCGCTGGGCCTACGGCACCGCCGACGAGTTCTTCTCCAAGCAGCTGCCGCACAATGTCACCTGGGTGCTCACCCTCCTCTACAGCCTGGACCAGCAAGGTGGGTTCATTTGTGTGGGGGGGGTGGGGGTGGAGGGCGGTGGGCACTCAAAGGGAGTGAGATGTGGTGAAGTGTGCACCGTAGCATGCATCACTGTGGGGCGGCGGGCTCCGGCTCCTCGAAAGAAGGACGCGCGACTCTAGGGCTTCATCACAGGCTGGCAAGGGCCGTATCTACCACCCCTACATCCCACCCCCCAAACTCCCGTCCTCCCGCAGACGACCTCAGCGACGATATGGTGCAGGGACACCTGGTGCACCAAATCAGGTACCTGGCCTCCGTGGTCACCTCCTCCTTCTCCGCCTTTGGCGACCTGTTGGCCATGCCCAGGAAGTTTGCTGAGATCTCCGGCGGCATCGCGCGTGTCAGCGAGATGTTCCAGGTGCTGGACGCTGCCTCGCGCTTCGACAGCCGCGCCTCGCTGGCCGAGCTGGAGGGCGCACTGCCGGACAGCATCGAGTTCCGGAACGCCGACATCCTCACGCCGGGCGGGCGGATGCTGGCGCGGGACCTCTCCTTCCGTGTGACCCCGGGCCACCCGCTCCTGGTCACAGGGCCAAACGGCGTGGGCAAGACCAGCCTGTTCCGCATCCTGAGCGGGCTCTGGCCGCTAGCTGCAGGGGCCATGCACCGGCCGGGGGCTGCGGGGGCGGGCCTGGACTCCTCCGTAAGCACATAAATGGGGGGTGGGGCATGCACGAAGGTGATTCACTAGTGCATTGCTGGGAACAGGCATTTGAACGTGCCATGCCCACCGGCTGTCAATGGTATCAATGTGCTCAGGGACGCTGTTTGAGCTTCCGTTTCACGCAAACCAGTCTGTTTCCTGAACCCCATCACCCCCCTACAAACCCTCTGCTCCTCCAGGACATCTACTACGTGCCGCAGCGGCCATACACCACCATCGGCACGCTCCGCGACCAGATCATCTACCCGCTAACCGCCCGCCAGGCGTACCAGAGGTACTCCATCACCGACAGCTCAGAGGGTGAGTGGGCTGGGGGTCTACATGGAGGGTGAGCCATGCAGGTCGCTCCATACACATGACTCTGAAGGGTGTACGTAGTGCAGAGCTGACCTGTCAAATTTGTTTTCCTCCTTTACAGATGCCGCGCAGCAGCTGGATGCTGAGCTGGATGACCTGATGGGGGTGGTGCACCTCAAGTACCTCGTCAGCCGCGAGGGTGGATGGGACGCTTCGCGGGAGTGGGGCGAGACCCTCTCTCTAGGTAAGCGGGGGCAGAGGGGGATTGTCAAGCGCTCTTTGACGCCTCCGACTCATGTCGATCGCAACCCAATTCCATTGCAAACCTACTCCATCGTACCTTCCCCAAACAGGTGAGCAGCAGCGGGTGGGCATGGCCCGCCTGTTCTTCCACAAGCCGCGCTTCGGCATCCTGGACGAGTGCACCAACGCCACGAGTGTGGACGTGGAGGAGTCGCTGTACCAGCACGCCACCAGCCTGGGCATCACCCTCATCACCATCTCCCAGCGCACGGCGCTGGTAAAGTACCACGAGCACGAGCTGCGGCTCCTGGACGGCCAGGGCGGCTGGGAGCTGCGCAAGCTCAGGGCCTGATGCGTGCCGTGCGCGTAAGCCTGGACTCCGCTGCCAGTTTGCTCACGTGCATGGACTTGCTGCAGGTGTACTGCTTTTCCCTCTGTTCCATGTATCTTTGTGTGCCTCTGACTCCAGTCTGTTGTCCTTATCAAGGCCTATCTCAACATCAGGAGTAGGAGCTAGAGGTCTGTGACTGCATGTTCTGCAAGTCTTGAGGAGTGACTCCTCGAGGAGTTAGCCTCTGGAGTCCCAATCCGCGCGGAATTCAAAGGAGTAAACCCCCCACGACAGATCGCCGACCCCCCCCAGACTATTCATACACATCTAAGATTCTCAAATCAGGCGCAAACAATGCACGGTGTGCCCCCGCTATTCGAACCCATTGAGGGCCCCTTCACCATGGCCAACATAGGGGCCGCCAAGACAACAGTCCGCAGTACCTACTACAAAAGCCCGTGACGCAGGCAACCATTCCCACGGAGCGCGTGCATGACGTCCTGCGAGGCGGGGGCCGCACGTTCAGGACGTCCCTCCATCCGGGCGCCCACCTCGCAAACCAGGTTCGAATTCAAATGAACTCCGACGAATGGCCCATGTGATGAGCATGCAGCCGGTCCCTTTCCCGCTGCACTCAGTCCCAGCTCTTCAACACACACACGCGACTGATTGTCAGTCAAGTACTACAGGTGCGCCCGTGGTCCCGGAAGGCCCAAGTGGCTGAAGAGAAGGGGGGCGCCAGCCAGCATGAGGGGCAGACGGGCCAGACGAGCCTCCGCACCAAGAAGACCGGCTGCCAGCAAAAAATTACGATCAAGCAGCTGAGGCAAGACTCCAAGAAGAGCATTGTCTTCTACCCTGACATCAGGCATTCGGGCCACAGCGACGACACTATCCAGTGTCTGCGTCTGTCCCAGTGGGCTATTGACCTCGTGGAGTCCCTGCTGGCCATCAACCCAACCTTTCGCAACCCCAGCATCGTTGCCCTCGGTGCGCGAAGCTGCGCTGCGCAAGGCAGGGATAAGTTCGGCCGTCTACACCAGTGTGGCCGACCACTTGGCCTTCCAGCAAAACCACCCAGATCTTCACAGGAACTACTTGATCACCAACAAGGAGATCGCCTGAGTTGCAGAGCAGGGTGCTCGGTGCCAATCACCTGCACCTTGGTGCCCTCCAGTCTCCCACTCCTCGAACTTGAAGAGGAGATATAGGTAAGCCCAGCCAACGTGGACACGGTCGACGGTCTGTTGGCACTGCACTTCCTTCCGGGCACGCAAACAAGCCCTGATGGCTGCCTTTTCCCCAGCGGATAAGCGACTGCTATCCATGCCAATGGTCTAAATTACCTACGGTGAATGGGTGGGTGGGTGGGTGGGGTCCATGTGGACAATGAGGAGTGGTCAGAGGACATTGAACATCCATCCTCAATAAGTCAATGGCGTCACTGTCCAGGGAAACTTCAAACGTCCCCATCCACAGGCATCTTGCAGACGCTGTTCACCATCAGATGTCCCTTCCCTAAAACACATGGGAGATACCAGGACTGACATCCTCCATTCTCTGAGAATTCCACTTTTGATGACTTGGCAGCTCCAGGCCCGTCAATGCTCGGACATCGCCGTGGAGCTTCAGCAGCTCCCACAGCGTCGTCAGGGTGACCGTGATGTGGCCGACCTGGACGCCCTGACGGCCGGAAATCAATGCGAAGAGCCTCGTCACCAGCCGTCGCAGTTGGGGGGTGATGTCGCCACCGGCAGCGGCTGCAGTGGCGGTGCCGCCGCCGGCGATCGTGCTGCTGACCCCTGGACCTCCGCCTCCGCCAGCGCCTCCGCCAGCAGCACCGCCAGTGCCTGTATTGGCGCCGCCATTAGCACCAGTGCCTCGGCCAGCGCTAGCATCTCCGCCGACGCCGCCTCATCCCCTGGCGCCCCTGCCGCCGCGGCTCCTGGCCCCGCGCACATTGCGGAGCTCCTGAGACACATCTGCACACTGCTCGCCCAGGCATTTATTCACCCCGGCCCTCCTCTCCTTTCTTCAAAGCTTTTTCTCGCCGCTTGGCCCTTCGATTCTCCATCATCCTCCCTTGAGCGGCCTGATCGACTGCGACATCCTGTGTTCCAAGAGGGTAGGCTCGGATTTAGGTGCTAGGGAATACAGGCCGCAAACCACTGCCCCCACCCCCCCCCACCCCACCCCACCCTGACCAGGACCACTGCAATCCAGCACCAGTCTCCTCATCGAACAGTATCCACGGTAAGCTTGGGGTACTCACGTTGACATGGCGCGTCTGGGATCCGACGTAGGCGGGGCTCGGCGAAGGATGGGCTTGTGCTCGTGCTTGCTCCGCAGGACTCTCTGCTGTGGGACGAGAGGGCTACGAATAGCTATCTAAACGACCGAGCTCTTGCTTAACAATAAAGGGTGTCACAAAGCCGCAACCCAGAAAGATAAGGCTACGAATCCACTTACGACATTCCGTGCTCACTCAGTACGTTCACAATGTCGAGTCAGGATTCAAAGAACTTCTCCGTGGTCGCTACAATGCCAGCTCTTCGTCGAACGTCCTGTGATGATGAAAAGGGAGCTCGGTCGTTGATGGAACGATGGACGCCGTGTTGACAGTCTTATGAGCAGGTTTGGCGCTATTCAGACTGGAGCGATGGTCCCCAAGGGCGAGATTTTCGAGACCATTCCTCTTTTCCACGCCCCATCCGGGGCGATTCTCTGCAGCAGGCCTCGCTAGAACACTCCATGCACCGCACCGAAGGTCACAACCCGTCTCTTGCCCTGTGGATGTTGATTTCGAGATGAAGGTACTCAACAGTCTGGCGACAGACATCTTGGCGAGGCGTCCAGCGGCGTTTAGGTGCACGAGGCTCCGTGCGTGCCCTCTGGCATTCAGAGCCGCGGCGCCCCGTGCAGCAGGCGCGCCTCGTCTCAATGTCCAAAGGAATGCCACTAGGGATAATTCAGTGGATGATGGTACGTTGGTCGACCGAAGGCTGGCCATGGGCCCCTGAGCAGCTTCGCATCCCCAGCGTCGGGGCTGTATTACGTTGAGCACAGTGCTTTAATCCGTCATCCCAACCTCCCTTGGCACAGATGTGGACGACTGCTCCACCAACGTAAATGCGTTCTGCAGTATAGACGAGACTGGGGCCCGCCGGCTGACACAGCTCAGTCTTGGAGAGAAGGAGCAGATGTTCCTGGAGGCCCTGTCGGTGAGACATTAGCTTTACTTGGGGTTTGCTTCCTTGCATGATGCTCCGTGACTGCGTGATTCTAAGTACAGGTTCGAGGTCTTGGCAAACTCTGTTCTGCAGCTGACCGTGCCCCACACTCGTACCCGCCCAGTCGTTCTACTTTGAGGGCAAGCCCAAGCTCAGCGACCAGGAGTTTGATCTGCTGAAGGAGGAGCTCCTCTGGAACGGCAGCAAGGTTGCCGTGCTGAGGTGAGCAGGCTTGGACTGGAAGAGGCTATGCGGTTGGCCTGTCAATAGTGCTCGATGCACGCACCCCTATGTCGAACACCGGCAGGGTGTTCGAGTGCGCGCGAGGGTTCCTGCCCTTCGTCAGCACTCCTCTCACGCCCGCAACGCATCCTTATCGCCTCTCTCTCATTCCGCCATGCAGCTCCGACGAGATCCGCTTCATCGAGGCCCAGAAGGCGTACCGCTCGGGCAAGCCCCTCCTGTCGGACGATGAGTTCGACGCGCTGCGCGGCCGCCTGCGCCGCAACGCCAGCCTGGTGACCGCCCAGGGCCCACGCTGCAGCCTGCGCAGCCAGGCCATGTACAGCGACGCGGAGGTGGCCTACGGCCGCATGCTGGCCCTCAACGTGCCCGCCACCCTGGCCGTACTGGTTGGCGTCTTTCTCCTGGACGACCTCACCGGCTTCAAGCTTACCGGGCTGCTGGAGCTGCCCGCGCCCTGGGGCATCATCCTGACCTGGGCCGTGGCTCTGCCCAGCATCTACCTGGTGGTGGACAAGATCACCAGCATCGCCTTCAAGGACGCGCTAGTGCTAGTCGCGCCCTGCCCCAACTGCGGCACCACGACCACCACCTACTTTGGGGACATCCTGACGGTGCCCGGGAACCGCAAGCAGAACGATGTGCAGTGCAGGGAGTGCAAATCCAACATCACCTTCAACGCCGAGAAAAGACAGGTGGGTGGGTGTGGGGGAGTAGAGGGGGTTGTGTGTGTGTGTGTGGTGGTGCGGGGTCTGTGTGTGTGTGGTGGTGGGTGGGTCTGTGTGTGGTGGTGGGTTCTCTGCAGCAGGCCTCGCTAGAACACTCCATGCACCGCACCGAAGGTCACAACCCGTCTCTTGCCCTGTGGATGTTGATTTCGAGATGAAGGTACTCAACAGTCTGGCGACAGACATCTTGGCGAGGCGTCCAGCGGCGTTTGGGTGCACGAGGCTCCGTGCGTGCCCTCTGGCATTCAGAGCCGCGGCGCCCCGTGCAGCAGGCGCGCCTCGTCTCAATGTCCAAAGGAATGCCACTAGGGATAATTCAGTGGATGATGGTACGTTGGTCGACCGAAGGCTGGCCATGGGCCCCTGAGCAGCTTCGCATCCCCAGCGTCGGGGCTGTATTACGTTGAGCACAGTGCTTTAATCCGTCATCCCAACCTCCCTTGGCACAGATGTGGACGACTGCTCCACCAACGTAAATGCGTTCTGCAGTATAGACGAGACTGGGGCCCGCCGGCTGACACAGCTCAGTCTTGGAGAGAAGGAGCAGATGTTCCTGGAGGCCCTGTCGGTGAGACATTAGCTTTACTTAGGGTTTGCTTCCTTGCATGATGCTCCGTGACTGCGTGATTCTAAGTGCATGTTCGAGGTCTTGGCAAACTCTGTTCTGCAGCTGACCGTGCCCCACACTCGTACCCGCCCAGTCGTTCTACTTTGAGGGCAAGCCCAAGCTCAGCGACCAGGAGTTTGATCTGCTGAAGGAGGAGCTCCTCTGGAACGGCAGCAAGGTTGCCGTGCTGAGGTGAGCAGGCTTGGACTGGAAGAGGCTATGCGGTTGGCCTGTCAATAGTGCTCGATGCACGCACCCCTATGTCGAACACCGGCAGGGTGTTCGAGTGCGCGCGAGGGTTCCTGCCCTTCGTCAGCACTCCTCTCACGCCCGCAACGCATCCTTATCGCCTCTCTCTCATTCCGCCATGCAGCTCCGACGAGATCCGCTTCATCGAGGCCCAGAAGGCGTACCGCTCGGGCAAGCCCCTCCTGTCGGACGATGAGTTCGACGCGCTGCGCGGCCGCCTGCGCCGCAACGCCAGCCTGGTGACCGCCCAGGGCCCACGCTGCAGCCTGCGCAGCCAGGCCATGTACAGCGACGCGGAGGTGGCCTACGGCCGCATGCTGGCCCTCAACGTGCCCGCCACCCTGGCCGTGCTGGTTAGCGTTTTTCTCCTGGACGACCTCACCGGCTTCAAGCTTACCGGGCTGCTGGAGCTGCCCGCGCCCTGGGGCATCATCCTGACCTGGGCCGTGGCTCTGCCCAGCATCTACCTGGTGGTGGACAAGATCACCAGCATCGCCTTCAAGGACGCGCTAGTGCTAGTCGCGCCCTGCCCCAACTGCGGCACCACGACCACCACCTACTTTGGGGACATCCTGACGGTGCCCGGGAACCGCAAGCAGAACGATGTGCAGTGCAGGGAGTGCAAATCCAACATCACCTTCAACGCCGAGAAAAGACAGGTGGGTGGGTGTGGGGGAGTAGAGGGGGTTGTGTGTGTGTGTGTGGTGGTGGGGGGTCTGTGTGTGTGGTGGTGGGGATTGTTTGTCGGGGAGCGCCTTGGAGAAAGCTGGTGCCGAGTCCTACCGAACGGCAAGGAATGCGGCCAGGTGTTGGGTGTGTGCACATCGGTCGTGTCCTGCTTTGGTATCTCTCAAGTCTGCACTACAATCGCTCCCCTATTCTACACCATCCACATCCTACGTCACAGGCGGTGGTGACAAACCTGCCCTCGTCTGGTGACGGCAAGGACAGCAAGTCGGGTGGGCCCAAGAAGCCATCAGACAGACCCGTTCCGGCCAAGGCCTGAGCACACACCATACCCTCACTTTGTATTCAAGCGGCACTGACACACCTGGAGGACCATGCAAGGACCAGGCATGCAGGCATGCATGCTACGGGTGTTGGCAGTGCCGATTTCTTTTTTAATGTCTTGACAGCATGTGAACAAGGAGAGAAGCTTGAAGAGGCAGCCAAGAGGTTGTTCAGAGCAGGAAGGGTGCAGCAAATATTAGATGGATTTGCTTTGGTGGGCTGCAGAACCGCTGGATCACAGGGATCCATGGCAGGGTGCACAGTGAGGAGTACAAGGCTTGCCATGCGACAGGCGGACGGAAAGGTAGTAGGCGCCAGGGGTATCAGCGCCGGGGCACTGCTTCAACGAAGCAAACAAGCGAACCCATCACCACCCCTGCCCAAACCTTCCGCCTCACGTCGCCGGCCTGCCTGCGATCCTCTCGCGCAGGCGCAGGCTGTTCCCCACCACGGCGATGGAGCTGAAGGCCATGAAGCCCGCGGCGAGGGAGGGCGAGATGGCGAGGCCCAGGCTGGGCAGCGCCGCCCCGGCAGCGAGGGGCACGCCCACCGCGTTGTAGCCCACCGCCCAGCCCAGGTTCTGGCGGATGGTGCGCAGCGCGGCGCGGCCCGCGTCCAGCGCGGAGCACACCTGGCCCAGCCCCTCGCCGACCAGCACCACGCCCGCGGCGCCCGCCGCGGCGTCGGTGCCCCCCGCCATGGCCATGCCGACGTCGGCGGTCGCCAGTGCAGGCGCGTCGTTCACGCCGTCGCCGACCATGGCCACCACCGCGCCGGCGGCGCGCAACCCGCGCACTACGCCGGCCTTGTCCCCGGGCCGCGCGTCCCAGTGCACCTCGTCGATGCCGGCGGCGCGCGCGGCGGCGCGCGCGGGGCCCTCCCCGTCGCCCGTCAGCAAGACCACGCGCAATCCGCGGCGGCGCAGCGCCGCCACCGTGCGCGCCGCGCCGGGCCGCAGCCCGTCCTCCACAGCCAGGCTGCCCACCAGGCCCCGGCCGGCACGCGCCACCCACACCGTGCTGCTGCCTGTGATCGATGACTCCGGGGCAGGTGGGTCGGTCGATGCGTCGCGGGCAGGTGAGTCGGTCGATGCGTCTGAGTCAGTCGAGTCAGTCGATGCGTCGCGGGCAGGTGAGTCAGTCGATGCGTCGCGGGCAGAGGGTCCTGCAGGTGCATCGGGGTTGAATCGGGCTGTTGACGCTTCCATCGCAGGGTCCCCGCCGTCGCCGCGCTGCGCCGCGCAGATGCCGAGCACCCAGGCCTGCCGGCCAACCGCCGTGACGGCGCCGTCCACGACGCCCCAGACCCCCTCCCCCGCCACCGTCGTGACCTCGCTGGCAGAGGGGATGGCCAGGCCTGCTCAGTTGAACGGGGAGGTGTCACTGGGGTGAAGCTCTCATGCTATCTTGTGGCCAAGGACAATTCCTGCACACTCTTCAACGGTGACATGGCACTCAATCTCGACGCCATCCCCCCACACCACCGCGCACAATCCAGCGCCCTCCACGACCAGCGCCGCACCTCTGGCGCGCGCGGCGTCGATGAAGGCATCCGCCAGCGGGTGCCGCGTGACGGATTCCAGCGCGGCGGCCAGGGCCAGCGTGGCGTCCTCGCCCGCGCCGCGCCGCGCCACGAGGCGCGGCCGCCCCTGCGTCAGCGTCCCCGTTTGTCCAGGACCACGGTGTCCACGGCGGCCAGTCGCTCCAGCACATCCCCGCCACCAATCAGCACGCCGCGGCGCGCGGCGGCGGAGGAGCCGACCAGCACGGCGGTGGGCGTGGCCAGGCCGAGCGCGCAGGGGCAGGCCACCACCAGCACGTCCACCGCCAGGCGGGCGGCGAGGACGTAGGGCGCGGTGGCGCCCGCGGCGCCCAGCCCCGCGGCCTCCACGGCGCCGGGGAACAGCGCCGCGCCGGGGCCCGCCCAGAAGGCCAGCGTGGCCGCCGACACGGCCATGATGCCGAAGCAGAAGCGCCCCGCCACCGCGTCGGCCAGGCGCTGGACGGGAGCCTCGCGTGCCTGCGCGTCCTCCACCATGCGCGCGATGCCGGAGACGGTGGAAAGCGCGGCGCTGGCGCTGGCGCGAACGCGCAGCACACCCTCGTGGCACACGACCCCACCCTTGACCCTGGCCCCGGGGGCGGCGGGGACCAGCCTGCCCAGGGATTGATTGGTGGGGAGGGGGGGATTGGTGAGGGGGGGAACTTGGCGGGCGTCACTGTGCTGGGCCGGGCGGAGAGGAGGAATAGGATGGAGCCCCTTTTGCCTACACCAAGGCCCCGCCCGCACCCTCGACATACAGCAACCCTCGCACCTGCTCTCGCCGGTCACCAGCGACTCGTCCAGGGAGGCCCTGCCATCCACCACCTCGCCGTCCACAGGCACTCGCTCCCCGGGCAGCACCAGGATGACGTCGCCGCGGCGCAGGATGTCGGTGGGGACCTGGCGCGAGGCACCGCTGCCCTCACCGTCGTCGATCACGAGCCGGGACTGCTCCGGGATCAAACTGGACAGCGCGCTGAGGTCCACTGCGGGGTGCATGCGAGGGGCTGGTGGCGATCACTGGGGAATTGGACCACCTCGACACAATACAACCTCCTGTACACAGACATGGGATCCGCCCGATTCTACACCTGCAGGTACATGCCAGGCCAGTGCACGCAGGGACAGGCAAGCGTCTCCTTAGGCTGGCCGGACAGACCCACACGTATATTAAGTGCCACCCCCCCCAAAAAAATAATGACATTGCGCCACTCACCAGAGGCCTTTTTGCGAGCCCGCGCCTCCAATGTCCTACCCAGCAGCACAAAGGCGAGCAGCATCACCGGCTCCTCCAGCAGGCTGGCGTCCAAGGGGATGCCCGGCACAAACGCACTGGCGAGGCCTGTCCCAAAGGCAGTGGCCACGCCCAGGGCTATCAGGGAGTTCATGTCGGGGTGACCCCTGCATGTTGAGGGCGGAACATCACCATGGTGGACACTGCACAGGCAGGTGAAACAGATGTTTTGGCGGGAGGTGTTGCTGCAGGCCGCGCAAGTCAGAGCGTCGCCAAAGCCCATCAGGCTCAGTCCCACTACAAACTCCCCCTGCTGTCCCAGCCATACACAGATGAAACCCACAAAACTCCCCTACCTGGACAGGGCTCGAGCTCCATTGACGATGAGGGTGCGACCAGGTCCAGCCAGGGCAGCCGCTCCGATGCCAGCGCCCACGTAGGGATGCCCCAGCCAGCCCCACACGCCGGAGTGGGCATGCATGGTCAGACCCAGAGCGTGTAAAGCGTGGCCGGCATGGTGCAGGAGGCAGGCAGACGCCAGGCCCCACGAGATGGCGGCGTTCCAGGTGCTGGGGAATGTATGGACAGGAAGTGTTGGCAGTCCAAGCGCAAAGTGACACATCACCCTCCTCCTGTCCGCCGGAACCTTCACAACCTAGACCCCCGCCTGGCGGCAGCTGCCTCCCCAGACAAGAAGAAAAGGACAGCACCGCTCACCTCTGCAGCAGCTCCTCCTCCCTGGCAGCCTCCTTCTCTGCGCCCCTGCCACGCAGATCGTGAGCCTCCCTGGGCCGAATGATGGAGGGAAATCCGGCCGAGGCCAGGGCGCGCACCGCACGCACCGTCGCCTCATCGTCTCGCGCCTCGATCACCGCCCCCTCCAGCACCAGGTTGACGCTGGCGCTGGAGATGCCCGGCTGCCGGAGGAGGGTGCGTTTGACCGCCGACACGCAGCCGCCGCACTTCATGCCACTCACATCCAGTACGACGGTGTGGGGTGCAGGCTCTGGGCGGTGTGGTGCCAGGATGTGACGATGGGAGGGGTTGGGAAGCTCCCACAGGATCCAAGGGAGGGGCTTGCCCAGATCATTCGCATTTCATGCGTGGCATGACATGGTTCTGCAAGTGCTCGACCAGCATGCACCAGCCTGAAAGAGACCAAGAGTGTACCTGAGATGGGGGAAGTCACAGAGACTGTGGCCGTGGAGGCAGCAGCACATGGTCTGCAGCTCTGGAGGCTGGGCCTCCTTCCTGATGGCCGCTGCCAGGTAGAGGATAGGTGTGAGAGAATCACAAAGGGTCTGCGACCATGGCCCAACGGGGCAGGATGGCAGATGGGCGAGAACGCCGTTGCTTTACTGGTGCATGGGGCATAACCTGCTGGAAGCAGATGCCAAGCTCGGACGCAATGCAGCATCCGAGCTTGGCTCCTCGCTAACGTTTGCATCAGCTACGGGTATCTTTAGGCAGAATGCATTGTTTTCAAGGCCCACATGCTCTCGAATGTACGTCTGCTTCCTCGCACTGCGCGCTCGTCGTCGTATCCTCCATGATCTTGGAGACTTCCCGCCACCCGAAACCATCTGCTGCGTGCTGGGCTTCACAACTGGCGATGCTTCCTACTGGACACTCAGCCCGTCAAGGTCGGCACGAGCCCTGCTCCATCCCGCCAATGCAAGGGGAATCATGGCAGCTCTCCGACGGGCTGCGGCCCTCGCACTGCAAGCGACCGTCAGGGGTTGTCGTTCCCTGACTACGTACACTGGAGAGAATGTAGCCTACGTGCAGGCAATGCAGTCCCCATTGGCGTTGTATCTGACTCCCAAACATCCAAACTACGCTCTTAACAATGGTGAGCTGGGTTTTGGGGTCCGCGCAGGCAATGCTAGCTTCGACAAGAGCGGTTGTGAACGTCTGAGCCTGCACCATCGGTGATGATTGCCCCTCCTCATCGACTAACCCATTGTCGGCCACATTCTTATGCAGCGGTATTGGAAGGCTGCTGGATGAGCCCCCTTGCGGCACGTGTCCTGGATCCCACCGCGGCCATCTCGCCCCTTTGTGCCACCAAAGTCTCTCAGCCGCTGTCGGAAGAGAGCAGTGAGCACACCGCCCGTGCCATGTATGCCGATTCTGTGAGGAGAAAGAGGAAGCACAAGATGAACAAGCACAAGCACAGGTCTGTCCACACTTCCCCGGAATGAGATGATTTGCTGCCTAGGGAGCCTGGATGTAGGGCTGATCAAGCTCTGCACCTGCTGAGTGCATCTTCTCACTGTCTTACCATCCCTTTATTGTGTGCACAGGAAACGCCTGAAGCTCAACCGACGATAGGAATTAGATCAGAGGCTGCTCTGTCGCCGGCGCCAAAGCAGGGGCTGTGTGGGTAGTTTGGGCGGCTGCTGCTCCCGCGGCAACCCTATATGAGGATGCATCCTTGCTTTTGCATTCGGGTCCTTTGCATTGACAGCTGTTAGGTGTACTGTACATACTGCACACGACAGGACGAGGTTGTTCTAGAGTAATCATCACAGAAATGCGCGAGAGGCTGGCTTGGTCACTCTGGCCATGCCGAGGTGGGCCTCCATGAGGGAGTGAAGGTCTGGGGGTGCCACCTCAGAGTCACCAGGCAAGCCAAGGTAATCCTCGAATGAGAAGTCGTCCAGGGCCCCAGACATGGAGTCGAGGCCGATGCGAGAGGAGGGCAGGCCTGGTAGGCGTCCCACCCTGCGACGTGTGGGGGACAGGTGTGAGGAGTCCAGCTCAGAACACCCACACAAAAGGCACGGTACATCCTTGCGTGTTGCAGCGCAGGTCACAGCCACACACCTTTCAAGGATCTGCCGCTCGATCTGAATGCGGGCCGGCAGGCCCGAGCCATACACATTCTTCAGCATGGCCATCCTGCTCTCCTCCACGGTGCTCCGCAGGCCGGCCTGCACCTGCGCGACGGGGTGCCCGCTCTTTGCACCATCCTTCAATGTCACGAGCCCATTGCGGAGCGCATCGTGGGGTGCTGTAAGAAGAGGCAGGCTCGCAGAGTCCTGCAGTGTGCAAGGGGGAGCGATCCCTGCTTGAGGATGCACCGGACACAGGCGAAATGCCAGGCAGAACAGTGCCTCCGATCCGAGGATCCGTATGCAATTTGGTCAAATACACGATCAGAACCCACCATTGGCGCTGGCGTGGGCAGTGGCCTGCCTGTCACCGCTGATCCTCCACCCTCTGCGGTCTCTTATCGATTGGCTGAGTTTTGACCAATGATTGTCGGATGATGGATGTGTATATTTATGGATGTTCCTGGATCACAAACAAGTCAATGGTCTCCAAGCACCAGCTATGCTTTCGGGCGTGTCCTGGCGATTGCCACCTTGGCGCAGATTCCGAGGAGAGTGGGGAAGCTGCTATCTGGACCGCTCCCCCTCTTCTCCACCCCTTTCGCCCTGCAGCGTGCACATCCCGGCATCTGCTGTAATGGTATGTAAACATCAAGACTCTGTACAGTGCTCAAGTCAGGCAGCGGGTGGGGGGTGCGAGGGGTGGAAGGAATGTGTTGAGAGCCCTGCACACCAGCCCGGTGGTCTCAGAAGCTGGCGAGCAGGCGCTCCACGGCCGCGTGCACGTTGCCGCTGCTAGCCACCAGGGCCCGTAGGTTGGCCTCCCGGTCATAGAACCCCATGTCCTGCAGCTGCTGCAGCTGCGTGGCGTACGTGGCCTCTGGATTGGCGGGCGGAGCAGGCACCGCAGACCCCGCCGCCCCGCCCATCCCCGCGAGCATGGCCTCCATCCCGCCTGCGCCCGCGGTCGGCCCCCCGAACAGGCTGCCCAGGGGCCCGCCCGACAGCCGCTGCATGGCCTCCTGCATCTGCTGCATGGCCGCCATGTTGGCCGGGTCCATCATGGCCGCCAGCATGTCCGGATTGGCCAGCGCGGCGCGCATCTCCGGGTTCTGGCGCAGCCCCGCGGCCATGGGGTGGCTCTCCATCATGGACTGGAACTGGGATCGCCCCTCCGGCGTGGCCAGCATGGCGCGCATCTGCTGCTGCGCGGCCGCCATCATTGCCGGGTCGCGCATGAAGGCCGACAGCGCCTCGTTCAGGCCGCCGCCGTCCCCGCCGCCGCCAAACATGCCCAGCGGGGGCAGCCCGCCGGTGGCTGCCCCTGCGCCTGGCGCGGCACCCGCCGGCGCGCCCCAGGGGTTGGGCAGCGGCACGGCCCCGCCGGCGTCCCCGCCTGTGGCGGCGGGCGTCGTGGCCGGCGCCCCCCTCCCAGGAGCAGCAAACAGGGATGCAAAGGGATTGGCATCCGCAGGGCTGGCCCCTGCGTCGGCCTCTTCGCCATGCCCCGCCGCATTCAAAATTGGCTGCGTGGGACCGGGATGCGGGGCCGGGGTGAGGCCTGGCTGGGCCATGCCGGGCTGGGGTGATCCGGGTCCTTGCCATGCCTGCCCGCTGCCAAGCCTCCACTCAAGCGGCGGTTACCCAGCTTCAGGGTGGCGCCCGGGCACCAGACCCTCCCACTGACAAGCACGCCCGCCCGCCCCGCACCTGTATCTGTTCGTGGACCTGGCGCAGAGCGTTGAACCCCCCGGGCATGCTCTCCAGGTTGCTCATGGCGCGGTCCATGTTGCGTGTGTGCTCCCGCATCAGGCTCTGCAGGCGAGCGTCACGAAAAGATGAGGCGTGGATGAGGCAGCGCTGCCACTGAGGATTCTGTCGTGACAATCCACAGGAGTCCCTCCCTGGGTCTCATTCCTGCCTGACTGGCATGCACAGTCCCTCAGGACGCCCTGACCAGCCTTGCGTCGGCCCAGGCATGACCCATTGACCCTCGCCCCAGGTCTACTCCATGGGCCCCCCCCTCCCCCCCAACCACACACACACGCTAGGCCCCACCTCCCCAGGTCCCTCAGCCAGTCTACCCTGTCCCACCCACCCCGACGCTCACCGGGTTGCCCATGATGCGCACTATGTCCTGGAGCATGGCCGGGTCATTCAGCACTTGGGCAACCTGCGGGTTGGCCTCCGTCATGCGGCGCAGCATGGGGTTGTTGCTCACCATGTCCCGCATGAAGTCGGGGTTGCTCAGCAGGCTCTGCATGGCAGGGTTGGCTAGCGCAGCGCGCAGCGCGTCGGCCTGGGCGGCGCCCCCCGGCAAGCCCTCCTGCACCGTGTGGAGTGGGGAAGGGGTTGGTGGCGGCGGCGGCGGTGGGCCAAGTGATGGGCGCCAGCAGTGCCGCACTCCATCGCTCCATGCCGGGCGCTGACAACCATGACCCTTTCAGGAAACCCCCATCACAATTCGCCGTTTCCTCACCATGCCAAAGGGCGCCGCCGAAGGGATGGCCCCACCCGCGGAGGGAGCAGCCCCGGCTGGGGCGCCTGCCGCCGGCTGGGCTGTCGTGCTGGAGCTGAGGAGGGAAGGGATGTGTGCGTCTGTGAGACTCAATAGAAGAGGGGTTTCACAGCAGAGCTTGCCTAGCCCATAGAAAACAAGGAAACCTCCACTCACACGATGATCCAACCCCAACCCCTCTACTCCTGTGAGGAGTCGCGCCCACTGAGACGGAGCACTCCCTGCGCAGCGTTCCCACGCTCAAGCGCCCCCTTTGACCCACCTGTTCACAGGCGGACCCTTGCTCTTGACCATGTGCACCACGTGGTCGTGTTCAAGGCCTGGATAGAGCGAGTGGGGGACCGTCATGCGGCGATATGATCGAACCTTCCCACCTTCTTCTCCGAACTCTGCCCTCCTGATCACCCCCAGGCTCACCATAGCTCTCCACTGTGGCATGATCTTTCAACACTTGCCCCTTGTAGATGAGTCGGATCAGGTCTGCAGGGGAGTCGCAGGCCCTGGCGACTTCCGTCTTGAGATCACCGACCGTGGCCTCCCTCGTCGTCTTCACCTCGAAGGGCGGAGAGCCCGTTGTGGGCTTGATCCGGAGGGTGATCTCCGCCATGGTGTTACTGGGCCGGCGACTGAGGGGCCCAAGGACGAGAAATGGCGATGTGGGGGCGGGGCGTGGAGGGATTTCGGGGCCGAGGGCGCGTCCCCTGAAATCGTGGTACCGCTGCCGCCGTGTAGGCACCTGCAACGCATCCTTACCCCTTCTGATCCCCAGGCCCTGGCCCTTCCCCGAATCCACCGCGCCTATGCACACAGCGTTCGACGCAAGTTACATGTCGGCCAGTGGCAGATCGCCTAGCGTCCAGTGGACTTGGCGCCAGCCTTGCCAGCGGCGCGGGGCACGTTCTTGGCGACGGACTTGCCGGCGGCCTTGTTGGCAGCCTTCTGTCCGGCCTTGGACGCCTTGTCCTTCTTGGCGCGCTCCTTGATCTCGCGCAGGGCGGCCTCGCGGGAGGCCTTGCGCTGCTCGGGCTTCTCCGCCTTCTTCTTGGCGATGACCTCCAGGGAGGTGCCCGCCACGGAGCGGGTCGCGTTCTTGGTCACGGCCCTCCTCTTCTTGCGCTGCACCAGCAGCTCTTGGTCCTGGGGGTGGGAGAAGGAGCACGAGGGGGTGTTGGATGACCATCCTGCACAGGAGTCGCAGAGATCCACGGCAGCCCCTCATTCGCAGCCAACCCAAGGACTCACCTTGCGGTGCTGCTTGCGGTAGAGGGTGGTCCACGCCAGCTTGGCGGGCCTCTTACGCTGGTTGTACAGGGACTTGCACTTCCGCCTCAGGAACAGGAATTGCTGAACGGTGTGGGGCGGAGAGGGTGGGGTCAGCGGGAATCAAGACACCCATGGTGCCGGCCTTGCTGGACCATCCCCACCCAGCTCCATGTGCCCGACAGCGACGAGCGCCTACGAACCTGTCCATCGACGCGGATGAAGAGGATACCCCTGCCGGGGTAAATCCTCAGGCCACTGAAGCGGCAGGTCGTGGTCCTGCGGTGAGGGAGGGATGTGGTAGGTAAGGACATCGCGTGCGTTGTGTTACGGCGAGGCCCAGTGTACGCCTTCCCGATAGTGGGCGCGCCGTCCAACGGATCCATCCCTCGCTCCCATAGCTCGAGACTCACTTGAGCACCATTCTGCGACGTGAAAAGGGGGGGGAGGGGGTAAGGAGGGGGGCCGGGACCGGGAAATTCGTGCAGCGAGCCGCCTCGTATCGAAGGCTTGCCTCCTCCTGACAGGCCCGCCGAAGCTCACCTGCTCCTCCTCTGTGACCTATAGAAAGAGGGGTGCACCAGCTCGGAGTGCCTCCTTGGCTCTCTCGCAGAGGAGACCTTCGACCCGGGCCCGCCTCCAATAGTGGCACAGTACTTGCAGTACCACTGTTACATTTTCATTGCATCGATGGTCCATGCTCCCCCCAGACATGGGTCCACATGACTGAATTTGAACAGCGATAGCGCTCTGATCCCTCAAACTAGCAGCATTCATTGATTCAATGTCTTCCCGGGAGCCGTCAGGGTAGCAGGGGCTGGAGTCGACGGTCGCGCAGGGGTGTTGACCGCTTTAGTGTGTGGACCTCACCATGAGAATGTACAGATGCTAATGGGCTTCCTGGGACAGACGCATGCGCTGTGACAGTCATTAATACACACTCACCAGTTGTCATGGCGTTGGTGGGGACTGCCCATGCAGCCACCCAGACCGAGCTCCCCGCCATGCCGGAATTGGATGGAGCACAAGCGGCGGTCATGGTGCGATTACTCCAATCCATGGAGCCGCTGGTGCACTCGGCGCTTGATGCCAACCTGGCCTGCGACATCTGCGCTGAGGAGCTTGATGGTGTGCCCTGGCATGGGCCCCGGGGAAATGAATGCTATGGCCCACCACCTGCACCCAAATAAGTTCTGTCTCTCTACGCTGCGAACCTCATGGAGATGGGCCAGAGTATATGCTGGGGATTCAAGCTTGACGTTCCCCGCTTGTTTCTTGCAGAGGAGCTGCCCGGGCTGCCCGAGGCATCGGGCCTGGGCAGTGGGCGGCACCCCCCCTCCATCTTGGCCAGCCTACGCAGCGGCCTGCGCGGCGCAGTGCTCCATCTGGAGTGGCACCCCTCCTTCCCAGGCCACCTCCTGGCCGTGCACGCAGGGGCAGAGCCTGGGTCCGAGCCAGGGGAGGCCGCCACCCTGGCGGCATGGGACACCGTCGCCCCGCTGCACCCCCGCTGGACCGCCGCCCTCCCCGCCAGGGTGACCGCCGCCTCGCGCTGCCCCCTGGATCCACGCCCACTGGCCCTGGCATGTGAGTACGGCGAGGTGGGCGTTTGGGCCGCGGACCCGCGCGCCTCGCCTGGCTGCGCGCCCGCCCTCTTGGTGGGGCCGGCCTGCCAGGCGGCGCCCTGCACCTGCATGGCCTGGCTGCCCGGGGTGGCGGCAGGGAGGGGCCAGCTGGTGGCTGCCGGCGCCGAGCCGGCCTGCTCGCTGTTCGCCACGGGGGCGCTGGACGGGAGCGTCGCGGTGTGGGAGGCCACGGGCGGCGGGGGGGGCGGCGACGAGCCCGCCCTCCGCGCCAGGCTGACGGCCGAGGCGGGCGGGGGGCCCATGCTGGTCACGGCGCTGGTGCCCCTTCCCCGCACCCAGGCCCTGCCCCAGCCGGGGACGATGCTGGTGGGGTGCTTGGAGGGCAGCCTGGCCCTGGTCTCGCCCGGACCCACCGAGGTGGGCGGCGAGGCGGGTGCACTGCCGCTCATGCACGCTGGCCACCGCGGCTTCTGGGGGCGAGGCTGGGTTCACTCAGACTGGAGTTCCTCAGCAGGGAGTGGGGAGAAGAGTGGGTGACCAGGGCCTGAGCTCCTCACCGATTCCCCCTCTGCTCCCTCCTTGCCCTTGCCCCTTTGCACACGCATGTGTCGCAGCCACAGTCACCGAGCTGCCCCCCGCCGCACAGGCAGCTCAGGCCACCTTGGCAGCCCACGCTTCCCCCCTGGGCGCCATCGTGGCCATGACCCTGCATCCAGAACTTCCGGGCTTAATCCTCATTGTCGGTGGGCTGGGGTGGGGCCTGTGCCAGCCGTCGAGCCTCGAGGACCTGCCACCCTTCTTCCTCAGCCCCTCGGCCCCCGCCGCCCACACCTGCGGCCGCTGGAGCCCGACCAGGCCAGGTGGGTCTTTTCCGCGAGCATGCCCAGCCTGCCGCTTGCAGAAGTTTTGCATGATGCTGGAATCCGGTGAAGATTGTCAGCCCCATCTGCCATCCCCTGCCACTCGTTGAGCCTCATGTCAAGTATGTTTACGCCCCTCCTCATCCAGCGGTGCTGTGCCTCGGGAGGGCGGACGGCCTCATGGAGGTGTGGGACCTTCTCCGGGGGCAGAGCTGCCCGGTCCAAACCCTCCAAGTCACAGACACGGCTGTGACGTCGCTGGAGTTTGATCCCGCTCAGCAGGGCCAGGTGGGCGCGGAGGAGGCAGGGTGAGGAGCCTGGGATGGCACAGCTGGCCAGGACCACCTTGGTTGTCCATCATGCGTGAGTGGACATGCACCCCTGGGAGGTTCTGCATGTCATTGAAGCAGTCAGTGATCTTCCCGTCATGCGAACCGCACCCAGGCCGTGGCTGTTGGGACAGCGACTGGGGAGGTCCACCTGGTGCAGCTGCCCAGCGCCGTCCACAGGCAGAGCATTCGAGAACTGGAGGACTTCCTCACATGGGTCAAAGGCGAAAAGCGTGCATTTTTGGCGGCAGAAAGTGCCCAAGAGACCGCCGTCGAGCATGACTCGGCGGGAAAGGTAAGGAGGGAGGAGGGGCTGGGCAGGGTAAGTGGGTAGGAAACCCAGAGCCCTTGTCCACAAAGTCTTGTGAGCACTCTGCATGCAGGAAGGGCAAGACTTGGATGCCCATCGTGCCGAGGAAGCACGCGACATGAGTGCTGGAGTCAAGGCCCTCCGCAGTGACAGATCGGGTACTTGTCACCCCATTGCTATAGTTGAGGACGAGGAATTCTTGGCAGCGTTGAGGGAGTGGGAGCTCAAAGTGGGTGTTCCGGATGCTGGAGAGGACTGATCGGGGGAATGGGTCCTTAAGAGTGTCATGCGCACAGGGCCAACCAGGTGCTGGTGCCAAGGGAGGATGTGCTCACTCCGGTCCTGCTGTGATGCCCCGGGAGCCTCATCCCGGGCGCGTCAGACCCATCGCCAGAATGCGCCGAGGGCCGGGGAAGTCATGACCGATGAGATAGGCCCCCGACATTGTCTTGCCATGATAGTAGAAGGTCCCTGTACCACTCTGGCGCCCTCACGTCGCTGATTTGAGGCGGGTCCACCGGGTACCTTTGGCTGCCAGTTTGATAGCTGACGGCAGAAACGAACCCTGTCGTGCATGAAGCTGCCCTACAGCTCTGCTTTCAGACCCGATTAAGGAGGGAGTAGAGTACTGGACCCCATCTAACAGAATAAGAGGCCAGCAGACGGTGCACTCCCCCATCGCGCGGTCCGCATGGCCACTGCTAGCCTCCCGGTCCAGGTGGCCGTGACATCGACCCATTGTTTCGGTGCGCCCAGATGGAGTATCTGATGCTTACAACAACGGAGGGCATGCGCAAAGGAGATTGCTTGGGTCTCCTGCGCGAGGGAGGCTGACTCGCATCCACCTCATGGACAATCTGGACCCTGGGGAACTGCAGCCCTTGTCCTGCGTTTGCCCAAATTGACATGGAGCGTCACCTGAATTGTAATCGCACGCCCATCTACCCATGCAGGCCTCAGAGAACCAAGGAGGAAGAGGCAATGGGCTCGCCAGACCCGTTGTCATGCGTCAGCAGCCGGCAAGCCTAAGCGGCGGGTGGTCGTGACTGGGCAGGGTGTGGTGACGAGCCTTGGTCAATCCACTCAACAGTTCTACGATCAGCTGCTGGCTGGGGCGAGTGGCATCACCCACATTGAAGGCTTTGACACGAGTGAGTGGGGAGGGAGATTGCCGGCTGGGTTTGTTGGCAGGGGGAGCTGGCATGCACATGCTAGCAAAGGCCCCTCTTGGAGGGTACAATGATCATGATTCTCCTCAGCAAAGCAACTTGTCCTTGACGCGCCCTCAACACACCCACCCCGGCACCAGGCGACTACTCGACCAAGATCGCCGGCGAAGTCAAGTCAGTGGATGCGGCGCCATATGTGGCGCGCAAGTGGGTCAAGCGCATGGATGAGGTCATGAAGTTCATGTTTGTGGCTGGAAAACAGGTGAGGGGGAGGAGGGCTGGAGGGATTGGCGGGCGGGTTGAAGATGGCCAGTACGCTCTGCCTGCAGCTCAGCACGCTGTCTTTGCTGGGGTGGCATGCACGGCCAGGCTCAATTCTAAGAGCAACCGCCCCCGCACACAGGCGCTGGAGGATGCGGGGCTCCCCTTTGAGGGACCCGGCTTGGAGGATCTAGACCGAAAGCTGTGCGGCATTCTGATCGGCACTGCGATGGGCGGCATGACAACCTTTGCCAGCGGCGTGGAGGCCCTGACGCTGTCGGGTGGGTGTTGGACCTTAGGGTTTGAAGGATTAGGGGTGAAGAGGGGAGGCAATGAAGTTGTCGGGAGGATGCATGGAACCCCCTCAGGCCTGTCGCCACCGCTGTGGCTGGCCGAGGTTGCCGAGAGGGCCGCATGCGTGCGCAAGGGTTCTGTGTCCCCCCATGACTTTGCTTTCCAGGTGATGGGAGCACAGAGTGTGTGGATTGTCCACCATCTGCCACCTCCCTTCGACCAGCATTCCCCAGACCTCACCCCCTCCACCACCCAACCCCTTCCCGCAGGCCACCGCAAGATGAACCCCTTCTGCATCCCCTTCTCCATCGGCAACATGGGCGGGGCCATGCTGGCCATGGACCTGGGCTTCATGGGCCCCAACTACTCCATCTCCACCGCATGCGCCACGGGCAACTACTGCATCATCAGCGCCGCGGACCACATCCGCAACGGCGACGCCGTGCTCATGCTGGCGGGCGGCGCCGACGCCGCGGTCATCCCCTCGGGCATCGGCGGCTTCATCGCCTGCAAGGCGCTGTCGCGGCGCAACGACGCGCCGGAGCGCGCCAGCCGACCATGGGACGCGGGCCGGGACGGCTTTGTCATGGGCGAGGGCGCGGGCGTGCTGGTGCTGGAGGAGCTGGAGCATGCGCGCGCGCGCGGCGCCACCATCCTCGCAGAGTTCATCGGAGGTGTGG